CCCGGCGGGGCTGAGCTGGGCGCCTCTCGGTATCGCTTTGGCTGAGCCAGGGGAAGGGTCCTCCTTGCCGGAGCGGTTTTTATTGCAAGCTGTGTAGTTACTGGGTGACTCGGGGTTTGTGCATCACAGCCTTCGCTTGGAAATAGCTCGTATTCCACCCCCCACCCCCTTTTTTTGTTTGTTTGTTTGTTTTTAAATCTTGCCATCCCACACGCTCAGCCATACCATTGTGGCCACTGCGGTTACATGATGACGTTTATAAAAGGATGTGATCTCTTACAGTGGAGTTGTTGCCGGGGTAAGGCAAGAGCCAGGAGCAGCCCTCAGGTATTTAATTGCTGCATTCTTAACCCTCCTGGCAGCTCTGTTATTAGCTTCCAGGATAAGAATGAATGCCAGAGAAAATTGTTGATTAATCCAAAATGTAGAGCGCTTCTCCCGTGGCTCTTCATTATTTCACATCTTCAACATTTATCTAAGTGTTTTAATGATTAGTCAAGGTTTTAAATGCAACTGTAAGCCTGAGTACTCAAGGTGCTCTGATTCATCTAAGGTGAATGAATCGTGAGAAATATTGTTGGATTAGATGACCTTTGAAGGTCCCTTCCAACCCAGAATATTCTGATTTGTGTGGTAGGTTGTTTCTATCATGGGAATATGTATAGTATTCCTTTTGATAACTAATCTTAAGATAAATTACCATTAAGGTAAACTTTCCCAGCAAGTAAACATAACGTGATCAGCAGTTTTTTGGATGGAAGAGTCAGTAATGAGATGGGTTAAGAATTACTATTTACCTCATGATGTTTGAACTTAACTTACAGGCTTTGATTCTGTCTTAATGGTTTGAATTTGTTGGGTGACCAGCGTTGACGCTTCACAGAGTATTAATTTGGCTTTCTGTCAGCCATTCCACAGCAAGTTATGTCTTTCAAAGACTTCATCTGAAGGTCCTTGCTCATTTATGCAGCATGTTAGACACACACTTGTGTGTCTTCCAAGTAATTTTTGCCCTGCAGTGCAAGTCAAGTCATTCACTGTGAATTTTTAAGTATCCTAAACTGGCATGTGCTTGTCTTGCACAGACACAATTTTTGGCAGTATAATATTCTTTATATGATGTTAAATATGTACTAAGGGAAATACTGGATTATGTAAGATTTTTGCAGAAGCACTGAAAATTATTTTTGCAACCGATGGTTTTCATTACCTGAGCTTCTATCCAGTAATGTTCTGAATAAACCTTAGACTTGCTCTGATTAAGAGCTAACAATTTCTTTAAAATGGAAAATATCCATTGTGGTTTGGTAGGGAATGGCTGTGTTGTTAGGAGGACGTCACTGTATGACTTGTGATCCTTGGATGTGATACACTGGGCTGCTTTTAGTTTTCAGGCTTTAGATAATATTAAGGAATTTGGGTTTACTTTTAGTACTGTAACTGATTCTTCAGTATGGATGCTTCTGTGGTGGTGCCAGCTACCTGATTATTATAGCACTTTTATTGTTGGATAGCAGGGCCGAGGCTGTAAAATATTTGACAAGAAAAGGTCCAAAGCAGCAGCCAGTTGCAGTTCTTTAGCTGAAGATACATTGCTCCTTGAGCAATAGTAGGGGGTGTTTGATGAAGAAATGTAGAAACCACCTTTACAGCAGATCTGTTCCACTAACATTCTTAGGATAAGATTGTTTTTCAGTCTTCGTGATGCAGTGTCACCAAAACTTGGGGAGGATGCGAGATCCAATATGTCAGGGGATTGCCTGGCATATTTGGTCAAGCCCACGCTGACAAATGAAGAACCAGGGTTGTTTAGGTTTTTTTTGCCATCCCAGTTACATTGTACCTCTCTTCCGGCTGTGTTAGGATCAAAGTTCGTGTTGCAAAGGCTCATCATGAAAATGAGGCATTCAGGTTTCAGGGAACAAAAATGAAATTCCTGGGAGGCTTGAAGAGCTGCTGGACTCCAGTTTTCCAGAGGTCTTAATCTTATTAACTTTTTTTGCCTTTTTTAGGTTTTGGTGTTGCTAGTTCAGGGAGGATGTCCATATTTAATCTTGGGACCAAAAAAATAGCAAAGCAGTAAACATCTGGAGCTGCTTCCACAGCTGTATTTTGAAATAAGATTTTAGTTGTGTTTACTATTTGTGTTCTGGAATGTATAAATCAGAACTGTTCTGTATGCAAATGTAAAGACAGACACAATTTCTGACCATCCGGAACTTTGCTTCAGAGGACCCTCTGCCTGGACTGCTGAGCGCAGGGAGAGCTGTGGGCAGACTTCACAGATGGGAGTGGAAGATGTAAACGGCTTTCTGGTCGTTTCTCTCCTTTGTGGGGCGGGCTGTGAAGCTGCCGGGGCAACTCGGGGCTTTTCATAACGTGTGCCAGTGTGACAGGTTATCCATTGCTTCGTGTTGGAAACTTGCTCTGCATCTACAAAGAGCTGTGCCTGAAGGCCCTGAAAGTCATGTGCAGTTTGAGAGTTGCAGTTTAGCTTTCTGTTCTGGATGGATGCACATGCATTACGGTGTTAACTAGGATTTCTTCAATGAAAGAATGCACTTCCCCTTTGCTAAATATGATAAGGGCTTTAGAAAGGAGGGAAGTTTTTCTTGGAGGTCCTTGAGGGAATTAAAAAAAAAAAAAAAGGTGTGGGTTTTTTTTTTTTCGTTTGGTTGGGTTTTTTTGTGGATTTAGTTTTATCCCTAAAGCCATTACTTTTTGCTTATGCAAGTTACATTGGTAGTGCTACCAACCAGTATGGGAAGAATTCCTAAATAGCTTTTAGAGCTATATTTGTTTTGGGTTTTTGTGTGTGAGTTTTTTTGGGGGGTGGTTGGCAATTGTATTAACTAGTGGACTTCTAGAGAGACCTGTAAAAACGTATTAAGAAGAGGGAGAAAAACTGCATGGTAATCAGAACTTGAAAGATTCTGTAGGTCAGTGTTCAGTTTTAAAATGTTGGCAATTCTTCTCATTACTATTTTCAGGTTAAAGTGTATGTTACCATATGTGATCAGTGGCCAAAAGCTTTTATTAAGTAGTTTCAGTTACCAGCATGTCTTTTTTTCTGTATCTGAGTCCTTAACCTGGTAAGTGATATCTGTCGTGTTACTTTAGAAGATGTTATAGTCTCAGCAAGAAAACAGAATTTCCTCCTGAAAACGATGTGCAAACATGCAGCTGTTGCTCTTTGTACTTTTCACTGATGTTTTCACTGAATGTGCTATGATTGCAGTGTGGCTTGTTTTGATTGTGAAACATTTCACATGCTACTTTTTTCTTTTTTTATTTTATTTTAAGGTTCTGTGTATGAGCAAAGCTGGTTTGCCTGGTAGCACACTTTAAAGTTTTGAGCAAACTAATGCTTAAAAAACCTTGGAGTGAGCTAACTGAAGGCACAAACTTTGAAGAAATATATATTCTTTAATATTGAAAATGGCCACAATGGTAAAATTACAGAACACTACAGTTCTGTATGACACATTTTCTGGACATGAATTGTAAATTAATGTACACAGGTCAGTAAGTTGTAGAAATTCAGGTGCAAAGAGTTACTGAGGTATTGTAGAAGGTAAAAGGGTGATCCATGTAGCTAGAATGTGAACTCCCTTTATATAAAGAACACTTGATCTTGTCCATAGATTCCCCATGATACGTTATCACTACTGGGAAATGGTATTCTTGAATGTCTGCATCGTGTGGACAATTGCAGATTTTTAACTCATCGCCATTAAAACTGCTAAGTCATATCTGGAACTATTGCCAGCTTGTAAAATTGTTGTTTAACCAGAGGAGGTATTTTAAAAGTTATATTGGTGTGACTGTTCCAGGCGATGAACTGATGAGTTACAAAAATTACTATTCTCGGTAAATCAGTATTACTGTAATTATTCTTTCTTGTATGAATAGCTGCTACTATAAAATACCTTTCTACCTGCCCAAGTGCATTAAAAGCAAACTGCATATAATTTTAATTGCACCAGTTTTTCTGGAGTGGCGCAGTTTTATGTTGCAGACCAAATTTATGCCTTCGAGTTGGGCAATTAAATCTGTATATGTTTGCTTTCTTCGGATCTCAGAAGTGTAGACTTTAGGATTGCTCTTGCTGTGGGATGATGAGATTCTGCCACCTGTTTAGTTCCCAAGGCTTTGCTGTAAAGCAGCTGGGAAGGTACATTTACGTACTGTGACCTGCTATCGAAATTAGATACCCATGACCTATAGGCAGTGTTTCTGTGTTTTATCATTGTTAGAAACCATGTGGAGAAATCCTGTATTACTCTAATTCTCTTCCCTTCTTCATGCCTCTAGTGCATGAGGCCCTGCACGGTTGGTGTTTACCATAGCCAGCAGGAGGAAAATTGCCATTTTGACTTGTTTTTCTACTGCCAGCCCTCTCATTAGACCTCTAAAAGATACTCTGTTGCAGAGAGTGGGTTGCAGTCTTGTGTTCAATCTTCAGTATCTGGAATATGTTATCAGTTTCTTATTTTGAAAATAACTTTGATTTGTTCAGTTTCAAACTGTAATCTGAAGGCTTTTTTTAATTGCACATTAAAAATGTAAGATGTTTTTATTCTTACAGGAAGGAAGAAACAGAAGCTTGCCAAAGAGAGAGCAGGGCTTTCCAAGGTAATACTGTGTTCAACAATGCAGCGCTGTTTTGAAACATGTTTAATTTGTAGTATTTGTAAGAATTGTCTAAAGGTCTCTTTTGATGTCAGCATTAGAAACACTTCTGCAAATGTGCAGTCTTTAGTTTCCTTAATGCTTGTAAATGGTTGTTCCTTTTTTGTGTCAGATAGAGGCTAGACACTGCAACATTTACTGTGTGATTTGATGGTGTCTTCCTCTTTATTATGTACAAGGACTTTGCAAACTTAAGTATCGTTGGTGTGATATACCTATTAGGGAACTTGATAGCTTTTTGCTGTAATTATTTGATTTCTCTTTCCTTGTTGCTGATGGATCCTGCAATAAAAGATAGAATTGTCTTAACCAATTCTAAGAAATATAGTTGTGATAGGCATGACACACCTTCAAGTTTATATTTGCTACAAAATTGTGAACTTGATAAACTGAGTAGCAGTATTTCAGGCTCTGTCTCTTTACAGATTTGTGATGTGGTGACATGAGACCTGAGTGATTTTCAGAGACATTCTCTGTACATTTAACTTAGTGGTGACACTTCTAATTTATGAGCTTTTTTCCTAGTTTCAGTGTACAGTATGGTTGTGTGTGTGTTTGATTTCAGTTGAGAATGAAAGTTTCTGTTAGTTTGTCCCTTAAACATCAGTTAAAAAGCAACTTCAGCTTTACCATGTGTGTTATAGTTGCCTGATCTGAAAGATGCTGAAGCAGTTCAGAAGTTTTTCCTTGAGGAGATTCAGCTTGGCGAGGAACTACTAGCTCAAGGTAATAACATATTTATTTTTTTGAAGGATAAGTTGTAAAAGAATTTTTCTTTACCTTTGCTAGAAGATGATTTTTATATATTAAGATCTTTTGGGGAGTCAAATTCACCTAGGAAAATCTGTTTACTTTTTTCTAACCTTCTGTGTTCAGAAGATCCAGCAAGGGAGGAGGAAAGAAAAGTGTGTATTGATTCTCAGTAATTTAATCTACTGTTGATGGATGTTTTATGTAAATACAGTATGGAAGAAGTTTATTTTCAAAACACTATGATTTGTTATACAGGTGAATATGAGAAAGGTGTTGATCACTTGACCAATGCCATTGCTGTGTGTGGGCAGCCGCAGCAGCTACTACAAGTTCTACAGCAGACTCTACCACCTCCAGTGTTTCAAATGCTTCTAACTAAGCTCCCTACAATAAGCCAGGTATGTGAAATGTTCCCTGTTGGTTTGATTTGAAAATAATTGACCTACTTCTCTTATCCACTACGTCAGTCTTGAGTGTCGTTTTTTGTATATGTTCAGTTAGATTAAAAGAAGCTTTTTTTTTTTCACTTGAAATATTGAAAAGTGTATGTGAAAAACACCATGTAGCATTAATAGCAAACAGGGTAAAACAGAAACACAAAACTTCTCTCACGTGTGGGGTATGCAAAGCTCTCTTCAAATAGAGATGTCTGACTGCAGCTCTGGTACTATAAGCGGACTCCCTGTTTCCTACGTACAGGTTGGGGGCTCAGAAAAGCAGTAACTTTCTTGCACTGGGTCTTGAGTTTTCTTTTTAAAAATTCTATATTTACAAGTACCTGTAAGTGCTGTAAAAGTCTTTTAGAATTAGTCTGTTGCTTTTGCTAGCGTGTTGCTTTTGGGCCACCTATAAGCACAAAATGTTAACTAGCACCAGAACATGACAGATTTGGAAGCTTGGCAGTTTCCCTGTGTATAAAACTCCCTCCTTTTTTAGCTTGCGTACTGTCTAGGAAATGTTAAAGTTGTTGATATGCCAGCAGGTGAGTCTATTGTAAAATAAATGGTATGTTTTATGTCCTTGGAAATGCAAGGATACTCCCTAGTGGTGTTACCTCACATAAAGCAGAAACTCAGTGCTGTGCATCAGTCAGCTCTCTTTACAGCTCAGGGCTGGTTACGTTTCGGTTTAAGGTCCATATAGTTAGCTAAAACACGAGATGTAAAGGTCTAGGAAACAATGGTGAAAAATGTTTCCTTAGAGAACAGTGACAAAAACCACACAGAGGTCATCACTTGAGGCTGATAGGATATTATTTGACTTCAACTTTGCTAGGCATTGCACAGTATGTAATTTCTGCAGAACTGACTTCAAACACTTATGTCAAGTAGATTACCATTTTTAACATTAATTGGTTTGCTCAGTAATTACACTGCTTAATGTTCAGTGTAAAATTACATTGCTTGATAATCAGTTGCCTGCTGTCCATTTTATGTAATTGTGAATGAGTTTTTCTCCTTCTTACAGAGAATTGTAAATGCACAGTGCTTGGCTGAAGATGATGTTGAATGAGGTCACACCACAACAGGGGGAAAAAATGTTTTCTTACCCCAGAAGATGAGCATCACTAGGGGCATAAAGGGGCAAGAATAGTAGTTAATGGACTGTACCACATCGGGTTCTACCAGAGTTAAAATTAACTTTGTGTAGGTGGGTTTCGCAGGATTTTATTTATTATCCCAGTGAAAAGTGTATTTTGATAAGAATTCATTTTATAAATACACTGTGTTGAGTTATCAAAGTATCACTAACTTCATTATTATTAAAATATGCAGTTGTAATGTTGTACATATAAAGACATAAAACTACGACCTATTAAAAACCCAATGCTCATTTTTGAAAAAACAAGGTTATGGCAATAAAGATTTATCTGCACTTGTGTGTCCCTATAGTACTACTTTAAATTTCAGAACATCTGGGTGTCAGAGCAAATGATCTAAAAATAACATTAAAATTTATTTTAATGTTAATGCTGGTCTTTCAATGCTTTTAAGTTTAAAACCTTGTGTCAGTTCCTGAGCAGATAGATGTGTGATCGTTTAAAAAGTAACCGATCACCTTAGAAAGAGATGCAAATCAGAATGAGAATAGATGGCTGGCTGCAGAAAGAATGACAAATCGATTTGTCAGGAACAATAGCATCTAAAGTGATGCAAGTCAAAACTTCCTCTGGCAAACATGAAAGCTCTGTTAATGCAGGTGTCTGAAATAAAGCTGTTTGGGATAGAACCTGGGGCAGATTGTAAGAGAACGAAGGCTGGAGTTTTTTGAAAACTTGAAACCTTTTTGTGAGATAGGCAGTTAGCATTTCAGTCTCTAGTCTTCAAGACCATAGAAAATGGTTGTTAACAGTCTTTGGCATTTGTCTTAAGAAATGAAATCGCACTGATAAGGTAAGATGATGATATCCCCTGGCTAAACTAGCTAAAGCTAATGGATTTAGAAAGATGTTGTAAAATCTTGGTATGGTATGATAGCATGAACTTGAACTTAGGTAAGTTTTCCTTTGCCAGTGAAGAGGAGGCAAGTAATATACAGGCTCAAGTGAGTAACAGAAGCATACTTCTGAAAGCAAGTTTTCCATGGATATGGTGTTCTAAATGTCAAACCAGATTGGCTTCTACTGTTCTCTGGTTTTGTGCTATCGCCACTCATTTGGCAGAAGAAACAATGAAAAATGCTGCTTTGTATTTTTGGTGTGGTGGCTTGTTTTAACTTAAGGAGGAAAAGGAGAATTCCTTGAGGTGTCTGACGTTCAGAACGGCTGATAGTTTGTGCTGATGATGCCGATACAAGGTACTAGGTGGCACAGTCCAAGTAGAAGCGAGATACTCAGAGAGCACTTTAGCCAACATTCCCATCTGTCACTGTCTTTTCAGCCTGGTGTAAGTTTCCGTAAAGTCAGATTCTTCCAAACCGTAGGTCTCAGTGTTTCAGAAATAGCCTTGCACAGATCTTTCAAGAGGTTAAACGGATAGTTCATGGTCGGCTAACAATCAAGTACCCGAGTTTGGGAGCAGAAATCACTCTTACTGAATCAGTCTGCTTAGACAGTTTGCCATGGGAGTGAGATTTCCCCTTTAACTCCTTGAAAACACAGTTTCTTAAGATTTGAGGTGCTGTTGAATGATCCTGTAATGCAACAAATGCTGAAGTTAGTGGCTGGTACAAACAAAAATGTCATGAACAGCTGGCTGTAGTTCAGTCTTCGTTGTGCTTGAATTGTTCAGGTAGCATAAAGGAAAGCTCAGTAGCCATAATCTTCAGGTGACAATGGCTGGTGTGCTCTTTTCATTTTAATTTGTTTTAGAGGGACAAAGTTATTCTGTACCTAGAAAACAGAAGAAAAGCACTGAAATTGGTGAAGGGTCTACTATTTTTAATGAGTACATTGAGGCTTTCTGGAGTTCTTTAACCCTTACAAGCAAAAAATAAGAATTCATAGGTTATGCTGACAGACTGTTGGCATATTTAACTGCTGTCCTTGCTGGTGGTGATTGCTTCAGCATAGTATCTTTTTGGTTCAGCTTTTAGTGTTGTCTTAAAGTAAATCCAACTCTCTTCCACCCTGCCTTGAAAAACAAACCCAAACAGCATAAGACAGAGGTGGCACCCTTCCTTCAAACCTGAACAGTTTTCTACACTCTGATACAATGTCAACAACTTGGAAGTCACAGTTCAGTTTACAGAAAGCTCTTCTGAACAAAATTATGTTTTAGCAAAGCTGGATGTCAATTCTGATTCCGATGGAAGACTTGATGATAGTCTGTTTGTGTCTACAAATGATCATTGCTTTAATAAACATCATAGATACACATTACTTTAACCTCTTTTAGTTTTCTTGATCCTGAAAAGTCAGATGCAGACAAAATTTTAGGTAGCTTAGGTTTAAATGTAGTCTTAAGTATAAATTTGTTCTCATATTTGATTACCCAGAAGTACCTGGTTAGTATGCTAGAGCAAACTCTGATACCTGTTTTCAGTGCCTTGGCTAATCGTGTGGGAATGTTGAATCCTTTTAACAAGCCTTAAGGTGGTTTCTTTAGTCCCCCCTCCCCCCATCTCCTGATGAAGCTAGTAACTTACAAACTGTGAAGACCTGAGGATATTGTCTGGAATGAGAATTGGCTGTTGCTCCAGCAGTGGCAGGCTGGCACTGGTGTAGCTAGCATGCACAGCACACAGATGTAGGAGGCTGTAATTTAAGACTGGTTTCAGACATCAGCAAAGCGCAGGTCAGTGGAAGTGCAGTGGTAACGATGGATGTATTGCGTCAGTTGCAGCAATGCCGTTGTGTTAGCTGTGCATAGTACTGTGTGTTACCTGTGCAAATTAAAAAAAGGTGGAAGTGGGCCATTCCAGTTGTGCATTCGCTGCTCCTGAGCTCTGTAATCTTAGTTTACTGCAGGTAAAACTACTAATCTTTTTCTCAGAAAGTGCAGTCTTCCCTTCTGTGGTGCTCCAAGGACAAGGCACTTGATTCCAGCACTAAGAGGATTTCTCATAAAGGAAATTGGAGGTCTGTTAGTTTTATGTTGGGAAGTCTCCTAGCATCAGTTACGAGCTTCTCGGGCAGCTTTTATAGAAAAACCTTAGCTAGTTTCATGATCGTGCAGGACTACCTTTGATGTCTCACCATTAAGTTTTGTAGATAATGGAATCGAATCCAAAACCAGGGTGATCAGGCACACACTGAATCATCTGGCACTAATTTCCTTACCCTGGGGGATGACGGAATATTATTGTTGCCGTTAACTTGAAAAATGGAGAAGTCCCAGCCCTGCTGTGTAGGAGGCCAGCCAGCCATCATCAAAGCAAAGCTCCAGCTATTTGTGCACCCAGAAGAATCTTTCTTAAGTTTCATTTGTACATCTGTCGATGGTGTGTTTAAAGTCCCTTAGGCTGAACAGTGGCCCTACATGACCGTTGTGTTAAAATTAACATGAGTTAAACTTCAAGGGTATCTTTGAAGTGGTCACTAAGTGCTTTTAGTGAGTGTTTCAAAGGCATGTGGTGCTGTACACCCATGCTTCTGCGTTTTTAAACATATGGATATGAAAAGGGCTGATGTGGAAAAAAAAATTTCTTCAAGGCTTCTGTTGTACCCAAGTCTGGGTTTGTATTTTAATGTGTGCTTTTACTGACCAGTATAGCTTATGGTTGTCTTTATGCACTGACCAAAGGCCTGTTGCAAAGAGCTTAAACTAGTGCGTAATTCACAAGAACTGGGCTAACTTTCATCAGAGACACTGGAAACTGAGCTTCTGGTGTGGGTAACAGTGCTTGTTTACTGCACTTTTACCAAAACAGAGCTTCTCAAAGAAGATGTGGACATCTGATGCTATTCTCGGAGGGCAGAATTTGCCACATCCCATGTATTGAATGTGTGAGTGAAGCCATGGAAAACAGCTGGCCCTTCTGTGCTGTTTCTGTGCCCAGCTGTCCAGCATACTGGCACTAGATAATGGGCAGCTTTTTCAAGTTACAGTCGTTTCTGCGTGTTCTTGAAAAGAAACTCCAGGTTCTCACTTCTTTCCCTGCAGTAGAGGCTTACAAGTGCTAGTTTTACAGAATATTTACTGGACATTTTTCAGTAAGGTCACCAGCCTGTTTTTCAGTTGCTGCTGTAATCTAGTAATCATGAACTCCTAAAGGCTCTGTGCTATAAGCTTTTGACTCCAGACATGAAGTCCCAACTCCTGTTTTGTAAAGGTCAGGCCTTGATTTAATGGGTTGACATATGCGTGTCTCCCTGCAGCGCTTGCTCGCAATTACCATCGTTTCCCTTACGCCCTGAGGATGTTCTTGACTCATGTTTGGGGTGAGAGGATGTCTGCTGCTGCTCACCCCCTGTGTGGTAGTTGCTGAATGGAGCGTTGTTGCAGCTAGCACAGTGTTGCTGCAGCCTGCAAATTTGCCCAGATGGTCCATGCTGCAAGACAGTTATGAATGGCTTTCATGTATGAAATCGATACTGTGCATGGAGGCAGAAAGCAGCAGAAGTTATATATTTCTGCCCCTTCACAACTTGGACCCTTCCAACTGAAAACTGATTTGGTCACATTATCATTTATTTGAGCAGGTCTTAATCTAAACAGCAGAGGGCAGTTGTGCGCACACCTTATGTGCAAGCTCATCCTGCAAAATCCTGGTTTTTAGAAATCTTCCTGTCTGGTGAGGTGATGCAATGCAGCATTTTGTCCAGACAAATTTGCTACAGTGTATAAGACAGGATCAGTGAGGCAGCAGTGGCACGTGTTTCTACTGATACCTAATTTTGGCATCTAAAATTCTGTTTGGTTTGTAGTGATGTCGTGACTGGAAGGATTCCCCTTTTCTTTCTCTCCATCCCTCAACACAAACCAGGCAGATACATAAGCATTGTGCAAGTAACAGTCTGCAACAAAATGCAACTGAATCCCATTCCCAGGCATGCAAGGGAGGTTTTATCTTGCCTAGCTGTGATTTTCCTGGGTGAGCTTCGCTGGCTAGAGTAAAGGAGAGTACCTGTTAACTGCAGTAGGGGTGGAAGAGACTGCCTACAGTTGGGCTCTGGCTGTGATGGCCCCTGTGTGGAGGCCTAACCAAAACAAAAGAAAGGGGGGGACACATTAAGATGTTGTAGGTTGGTGACAGGATGCAGTTTCACTGCTGATTGAATTTCAGCTTAAGGTGGCAAAACCTACTCACCCTGTTGCAATCCTGTAGCTGTCATGAAGTGAGCTGCTGGGGTCTCTGTCATGGCTTGAGGCAGCTGTTTGTGCTGAAACCAAATCTTAACTGCTCCTGCACCTCAGAAGTGTTTTTTCTTTGCTTCCTGGGCTGTATTTGCAGTGTATGTTTATGCCATACAAATAAATAGAAGTTTTCAGCCCTTGTAGCTGTCATCCAGCATTTTTCCAAACATCCAACTTGTTAGTAAGAAATTCTTCAAGGTCTGCTTACAACATGGCAAGAATCTAGAGAGAGG